GACGGTATCTGAATTTCAAAGTTTTTGCTCATTTTTCATGATTGAGGTGTCGTATGAAAGGGCAGAAACTGAAATTTGTCTTTGGAATTCAGATACTGTCCGCCAAATGATTTTTTTTGGTTCCCTCTCTTCAAATTGCTTATAATCACTCGTGCGTGATCTATGCATCATACAAGTTCAAATAAAAGAGGAGGATCTAAGCTTTACAAACACGTGTCATTTATTAATTATTGTGATTAAGTTATGATAAAACATTGATAATTCTCAGTTTCGTTGGGACTCGCTGTATAAATGAATTAATAAGAAAACAGTATTTATTTGGAATATCATTTTATTCACCATTTCAAGGAATCTGAACAATAAATTGCATATTATCTATTTCCAACCGCCTTCTGCCTCTTTTACTTTGTCAAGCATGTTGACCCAGGAGTGTGACAATGTATGAAATTAGAAGAAGCAACACATTGGGAAGGTTTGATTGGAACCCCTAAAGGGCAAGATAATGAAAAGCTCATATTGCAAAATTTAAACCTTCCAATTCAGAGGACTTTTAGCTAGATGCATTCTTTGTATCACAAGTTTACTGATATTTTTTTAAACTTGCCAAGAACCCAACTAGTCTAGTAGACGGTACCATATATGCACATGACCTGGAAAAGTTTAAGTACAATTTTGTTGATTCTCGTTCTAGATCTCTGCAACCTTGGGCATTTTTTTTTATTACTAGCCTAATTAGCATAATCATCTAATTAGCATACATGCAATATGTATTATGTTGCTTATCTTAATCCAGGAAGCCTAAAAACATGGATAATACTTCTTCTCAAGGGTTTTTCTTTGACAAGGAATTCATTTATAACACCAGTTTTTATTTTTAAGTAATGCAATTGTCATAGGATGTACAATATATGGACTTCATGTCATTGTCAATCTAGAAAGCCTGAAAATGTTGCAACGCAACATTGTAAATCACGTTTTAAAGACAACACATTAATTCATGAGAAGATGTAGTATGATTAGCCGAATTAGCATTTATTGATACAGGTCTAGTTTTATCCGGAAAAATCTGGAATGACAATTTTAATGTGTATTTTTTTTTAATGACAACCAATATTGATCTCAGAGGTCAATAATGTTGAATGGAAAAATAATAAGCCTCCTAGCATAATTAAACTAATTAGCTTATTAATCAGGCAATTGCCTAATGGCATTGTGAACCTCTGTTCATTTTTGATTTTTTTTTTTTTTTTTTTTGTTAAGCAAAATTAACAGTGTAGACAGAGACCAGTTAGTTATTAAAGATAGAAAGATATTGTTTGTGTCGACTGAATGATGGTTATGGTGGCAAAGTGTATTTAGAATGTTCTTTTTCTTCTTTGAGTTTAGGTATTGGGGACAGAGTTAAGAGTTTCAGTTATTGTTTCAGTTATCTAGACATACAGGTGTATTGGTAATTTGCAATCTAACAGTGCTTATACTCAGATGCATAGGTAATGAATTAACAAATTACAATCCTTGCCTATTTAATCTAACCACCGCATTGGTGAAGCCGATTTCGTGAAGCCGGAGGAGTCCCTCATCCCATACTACGCAACCAACCACCTGACAAAATTCAGATAAGTGCATTCCACCTCAAGAACAGGGATACCAACCATCAACTCTACCATCAGCTGGTATGGGAAAAGGATAAAGCACACTCACAACCAAGTCTACCTAGGCATCACACTAGATTGCTCCCTTACCTACAAGAACCACATTGCCAACACAAAGGGAAAAGTTGAAGCCTGCAATAGCATCCTCAAGAAGCTAGCCATCACCAACTGGGGAACTGATGCCAGAACATTCCGGAAAACAACCCTTGCTTTCCTTCTCTGCTGCGGAGTATGAATCACCAGTATGGAGTAGGTCTGCTCATGCGCCCAAGATTGACCCTGCAGAGCACTCACTGGTTGCCTTTAGCTAACTAAAGTAGAAGACCTCTACCTGCTTTGCGGTATTGCCCCACCACACATCTGAAGCTTGGTCTTGTCCCAGAAAGGATAGGAGAAACAAGAAAACAATCCACTCCACCCACTCTTCCAACAACAGCCAGTGGGCAAGCAGCTCAAATCCAGACAGTTTCCTGAACACTGTAGAGCCCCTTAATACCAGCCTTCATAACCTCTCCCTTAAGGAATCCCTCGCATCCGGCTCCAGCGAGACTTGTCCTTTTTTGGCTAAGCCTCAAGCGCCTAAGAAGTGGTTGCGGACAATGCAAAGTCCTAATGCAGTGGAGTTTCGAAGACAAACAAACAGCATGTGAATGCGGCCAGGAACAGACAATGGAACACCTACCAGAGCCATGCACACAAGATGACCTCAAAGCCGTGAACTGCCGTGCTAGAGCCTGTGTGGAGCACTGGACTCAAATATTGGAGAGAGTACCACGTGTTTGGGCTAGTGTGATCAAACTCAGAAAGGTCATCTCCACATCGACTTTGGTTCCCTTCTTCATCTTCTTCATGGTCTTGACAAGACTGCTTACACTGGTGTAAAACTTTTCAGGCAGGTTTGAGACGAATTGGCCTTCATCTGTCTGCCAATGCTAAGTGCTTCTTCAAACATTAATTTCAGGGGAGGCAATTTGTCCTGTTACAATGTTGTATAAGCAGTCACAGCTGTCGTTGAGAGGATGAGAATGCTGTCATCATGAGAGATTGTCTTGCTCTGTGTATTGCAAGTGCGAGTCAGGAGTGAACTGTTGAAATCCAAACAAGTCAGAAGATAACAGAGATGATGAAGACATTAACAAAGACTCATCAGACGACGAAGAATCGGAGTGAATTCAACTTTGCAACCAATGTTTCGCTGAGGTTAGATTAAATAGGCGAAGATTGTAACTTTGTAATTACCTATGCATCTGAGTATAAGCATTGTTAGATTGCAAAGTAACAATATGTCCAGATAACTGAAACAATAATTGAAACTCTTAATTCTGACCCCAATACCTAAACTCAAAGAAGAAAAGAAGATTCTAAATACACTTTGCCACCATAACCATCTTTCAGTCGACCCAAACCATTTCTTTCTATCTTTAATAACTTACTGGCCTCTGTCATGACTATTTATTCTGCTCTTACCACTGGTACAGTGGGAAATTAAAAATGAATACTTATGTATTCTGTCTTGTCAGGCAGAAATCCACAAGGGCATTAGGCAATTACCTGATTAATATGCTAATAAGGGTTAATTATGCTAGTAAGGCTAATTATTTTTCATTTCAACATGATTGACCTGTGAGATAAATTAATGGTTGTCATTAAAAAAAAATACACATTAAAATTATCATTCCAGATTTTTCTGGATAAAACTAGACCTGTGTCAATAAATGCTTAGTAGACTAATTATACTACATTTTCTCATAAATTCATGTTTTGTTTTTAAAAAGTGATTTCAAAGTTGCATTGCACCATTTTCAGGCTTTCTAGATTGACAATAACAACGAAGTCCATATATTGAACATATGCTAAACTAAAGCTCATTATGCTATGACAATCGCATTACTTAAAAATAAAAACTGGTGTCATAAATGAATTCCTCGTCACAGAAAAACCCTTGAAAAGTAGTATTATCCAGGTTTTTAGGCTTCCTGGATTAAGATAAGCAACATAATACATATTGCATGTATGCTAATTAGATGATTATGCTAATTAGGCTAATAAAAAAATTACCCAAGGTTGCACAGATCTAGAACACGAATCAACAACATTGTACTTAAACTTTTCCAGGTCATGTACAAATATGGTACCGTCTACTGGACTAGTTGGGTTCTTTGCAAATTAATAAAAAATATCAGTAAACCTGTGATACAAGGAATGCATCTAGCTAAAAGTCCTCTGAATTGGAAGGTTTAAATTTTGCAATATGAGCTTTTCATTGGCTTGCCCTTTGGGGGTTCCAATCATACCTTCCCAATGTCTTGCTTCTTCTAATTGTATACACTATCACACTCCTGGGGCAACATTATTGAAAAACTTCTATTCTGTAAAGTAATCTGTAAACCTGTGATAACCTGTTATATTGATTGTACTAGCATACTAAGAATTGAGTATTCCCTCTCATTTTATGCAAAGTGCATGGAAACTTCATTTCAAGCTTGTCCTGCATTTGATAGAAATTGTCAATAGACCCAAAATTACAATTGATGTCATTTGCAAAACAACTCCTTCCAATGTCACGCATCCTTTATAATATTGCCATCTTTTGAATTATTTGATTCTCCTTGTTAATTTCAGTATGAATTTCTCTGCTTAATGAGAGAGAATATAAATTATTTCTAAAAAATTTACACTTATTAATTGCAACCTCAAATTAAGTTCATGATTAGACAATCCTAAATTGGTAAGAATTTATACCATTTTGAGAGGTTTGTGACAACATATCAAAGTACATAACGTGGTTATCTGATCGAATGAGTTTTATTGAATAGAATAATGGTTAATTATTGATCTGTACTACAGTTTTGAAGCCGTAAAACTGAACACATTTTGAAAATGGCACAAAGAAAATTGAGGATTTCATATATTAGCATTCAATTTTAACTTCTTTCATTCGAGCAGATTACCATGTTGTGAACTCATTGTAAAAGGCAATTAAAAACTTTAATGTATTATTTGGAATAATATTTTAAAATTATAAAAAAGCAAAATATCAAGGTTTTTTAAATCCCTGCAAGTCCAATTTACAAAATTGAAAACAAAGTTCATGATTCTCAATCATAAAATTACTTACAAAATAACATTTACAAAATAACAAATGACCAGGGACTCGTTTCACAAAGCATTTTTTCAATGACAAATGACAAAAATCAGTGACAAATCTGTTGGTAACCAATCAGAAGCAAGGATTTCAGTAGCGTATAACAACAACTGTCATTTGTCACTGATGACAAGTTTTGTGAAACGCCCCCTCCAGGAGTCTCTGTACATGCAACAAACGCTGCAAACCATGTCACCACAATCTTACGTAACTTTCTACTGGTCAGCTCTCCGTTTCAGCCAACTTAATTTCAGACTTAAATAGTTATAATAACAAATTAGTTTTCACACACATAAGCCCTGTTCACATCTACTAAAAGAACAATAGTACCGTAATATGAGGGTATTATTTATCTGAATACCCATGTAGGTAATACATTATTAATTCAAATTGCTGAACACTATATGGTGACCCAGTAAGCAAGGGACATTATTACCAGTTAAGTGGTCCAACGCTAAGCTTTCCCGCCACAAAAAATTATCTTTTATATTAAAAATGATAACAATTAAATCTGCCTGGTGTCAGTTAATACCAGATATTTCCTAGATCCTAGCAGGGAAAAGCAAAAAATTTAAAATAAATTCAAAAATTCACAATGAATTAATTTATATAGCACTCTTCCTCATTGAACAAAGAGCAAGATCCTGCATTATTACCTATACAAGGCATTCTGGCTGCAAAATAAAAAGCCATTTTCTGCACGCTACTCCGAAGACGAAACGAAGCAGGCAACATTTGCCATAATTGCCCTCTTCTGGGTTTTCCCTGTAGTAATTTAGAGGGTAACATTTGACATATTCCACTCTTTCTTGTCAGTGCGCAGTATTGTGTACACACGGTAACAATTAATGTCACAATTACATTTTCATACATTTTTATCTCTTGAAAAGAGTACCGTAAGCGAAAAACATGCATACACGGTAAATACACAATTAAAAAGCATGCCTGATATTAAAGTTGTATATCATTTGTAAAAAATTGCCTTGTATAGGTCAACAGGGCCGTCTTTCGGGGTACATCATGAGACCATCACTAAGACCATATTGCCCTCGTCTTCGACTCAAGGCAATATAATCTTAGCTTGGTCAATATTTCTGATGTACCCCTCGAGCCCAGCCAATATAATACAATTATTTTGTAGTACCCTTTAATGATATCTCCCATTAGCGTCAGTATATGCGACGATACCAACAACATTGCTAATTTACAGATGAGTGGGAGGCATGAACATGGCAATAAAGAGCCTCTCCAATTTATATACCCATGTAGTTAGTAGACCTTAATGAATAAACCTTGTAGATAGTCTTGATGTCGTCAACAGTCGTAGGACAGGTTCGGTCGGAGCCATTTCTCTACGTCTTTCACTTCCATCTGCTTCCTAGCTGCATAGTCCTCAACCTAAATATACAAATAATAATAATAATAATATTCCACTTTTTATATAGCGCCCAATACATTGATACAATGATGTGTCAAAGCACTTTACAGATATTATTATTACAAAACCAAGGGTAATGAGAGAATGGTTTATTCTCCAGTTTAGAAAGAAATATAAAAAGTCAATTCAATTGTGATCTTTCTTGTACATATTCCTTTCCAGGACATGGACATTTCACTTCCTTTATGCACTATATTAATTTTAAGCCTCTATCCTTCTCAGGGAGAACAGTATTTAAGCAAAATCTTAAATCTAATAGCTACTTGGAAAGCAAGCAGAAAAATTAGTAATGCAGATTGTCGAATGTTTGAAGGATAAAAAAAGCTACGAACATTAGAATATTGTTATCACTATATGTAAGGGAATTTCAAATTAGCTGAATGTCATTGTGAAGTAGTGGCAGACAATTCTCCCAACACACAAAATTACTAAAATGTTGATTTTTTTGAGGACCTATAATAATATACCACCCATTATAATATTTTAAAACGCGCCCCAAGTGGAGAAAAACATAAATTAATTATATTTTTGTACACAACGGAAGAGTTGTCAATGACTACGTCACAATCCACTGACTGAATTGCCAATTTGAGATTTGCCCAGATTTAGTGTGATTTCATATTTCAAACAACTTTTTTAGTATTGGTCTGATTATTTCAAACTTCACTCAGTTTCTCTAATATAATTTCTGCATTCTGCTTTCACATAAATGAACTCATTACCTTTAATACTGATGAAGCTTCCATGGGTAAACAAAACATTATCATCACTTCTCCTAATTTTGTTGGTTGTAGGTTACGATAGCTCATACAAAATCAAACCTCGGCCCCATTCAATTTCTGTGTATGTACAGAATGGTCTTTGTGATAGCTGAATGGGATATAACCAATTTGCCATTTTACATTCATACATTTATAGTGATCTCACATTTAGTTTTAAATCATAGCTTTCTCATTGTTTTTTCTTCTCCAAATTCTCTGTTTCCCTTCAAAGCAACTTGATGTCAGACTTTCCCGAATCTATGAATTTTTTGAGGGTTGTATTGATTCCTACCTGGTCTTTTGCAATCTTGCCCACACCAAAGTAGAAAGACTTGGGATGAGCGAAGTAGAGTCCTGAGACGGAGGCGGCTGGGTCCATGGCCAGTGACTCAGTCAGATGAATACCTGTGCTGCTCTCAATGTCCATCAGCTTCCACATGCTCTCCTTCTCTGTATGGTCTGGCTGGGAGGGGTAGCCCGCAGCTGGACGGATGCCCTATTGAATCAACATTATAAAAATAATTACTCTTGGTATAAAAAATAAGGGCGCAGAAAACTATTTTACTGCCATTTCTTTTGGCACATCAAGGTCATTTTTACTCTAATTTTTTTTCCTGCCAAAGATGTGGCCTACAATCGTTTCTGAGCACAAACCTCTGCTTCCTCTAAATGATGGATTTTGTGTCTGTCATGCAATGACGCTCCAACAGGATTACTCCGGCCTTAGCCAAATAGCCAAATATGTAGAGTCCTAGCATATTGGGTACCCATTAGTGGCAAATTTGAGTTGTGTCTTGCCAAAGAACATTTGTGCCAGCATAGAATTCCAACTCTAAACCCTTTGATTGAGAGTCAAGTGGATGAACCCTGCGGGTGAATTCATTACACCTCTTATAACAATAATATACCACTTGATCTTACATCATAGTTGACCTTGTGTAGTTCATTGACCTCTAGGTTCTCAGTGTTACCGTAGCCCCACAGCTCCTTACGAACCCTCTCATGAAGCTCCTCAGCAAATGCCTGCAAGTGCAATAGAAACAAACAAAGTCAAGATTAAATATCTTTAAAATAATTTGATTATGTCAAATTTCATGTAAACATGTTCATCTCTGAATGCACATCATTTAATAATTATTATGGTGATATTGAATTTGTTTTATTATATGAAATGCATTAAATATATACATGACTGTCTCAACTAATAATATGAATGTCTAACTAAAATACTTCTTCAAATGACATGAAATACAAATTAGGAATATAGCATACTTCAAATTGTGACCAGCCCCATAACCAAACCTTCTATACTAATATATACATTAATCATGGCCAATTTCTTTATACATCAATTAATTGAAAAATAGCTAAAAACACCCAAAATATCATTTACAGTGTGTTTGGGGATGTTCTACTTTGTATAGAATGACAGGCTATCTACTCTGACATATTAGCATTGCCCTCTGAAATGCATCGCCCTCTGAAAAGCATTGCCCATAAAAACCTTACAACATCCCTACAGCCAGAATGCATTCAAGCAAAATGGCTGCACTGCACAAACATACACCATGCCTTGCCCTATCATAGTTGCACTCAGAAACACTCTACATTACTATAACAAAGAACCCTAGCTTGCTTAATACACAACCAACCTAGCAATGCATTCAGAAGTGCTCTCCATTACAATTGCAAAGAAATGGCATGAAAAGCAGCTTACTTGTTGAACAGACCTAGTAATTTATTCATTTATTCAAACCCTCTCTGTCATAGTAATGAAGAAGTACCTGGCATGCAAAGCCCAAGCTGTTCCATGCCTTACAATCCAAGTAATTTATTCAGAACCTCCCCAGCCATAGCAATGTTAAAACACCTGAAAATGAATCACGATCATAATCCTCTTCTCCCTTTCACTCTATATTGAACACATGTAAGACATCAAGTCTCACAATTTTTTAAATTTTCATGTAGAGTACTTCTGCTAGTCTATCAGCCAGAGTGCCAGTCCCTTCTTTCTCTCTCCCCCCCTCTCTCTCTCTCTCTCTCTCTCTCTCTCTCCCTCCCTCTCTCTTCCTCTTTTCTCCATTTCTCATTGTCTACTTTCCTCTCTTCTCTCCTACACTTTTCTCCCTTTCTCTCTCTCTTCCACAGCACACTGTGGAGACATCATAGATCAAACACATGTAGAATATAATGTCTTACATACAAACAAGTACAATGTTGGATCTCACCTCTGCCAGTCTATCAGCTAGAGCCTTGATCATGATGATGCTATAATCATCCATCTCCACTTCAAACTGCCTGCACATCTCCTCTCTACCGAACCCCGCGGATACAGCAAAGCCACCCACGTAATCTGTGATGCCCGTCTCTTGGGGTGCAATGAAGTCTGAGAGACAAGTGTAGTGTTCGCTCTCCTTCTCAGCCTGGACAATGGGGAAAAGGGGTATACAGTTGATAAGAAATTCATCAACAAAAGTAATATAACTATCTGGTTAGCAGTCATAATAATAATATATCATGAACAAGAAAGAAATTAAATGGGAATGGTTTTTTGTGTACTGTTTAGAGTTGTAAGAATTTCACTAACTTTGTCTAATTAATCAAATCATGTAATTCATGAAGTGCAAAATTAGCTAAAATTTGTTTGTGTGCTAACATTCTTTCAGCACTAGACAATTTGGCCTGTTCTTGAGCCATTGATACCTACTTTTAGTAAAGGGTTGATGGCGTTTTCTAGAATCCTTCTTACGATTACAAAAAATGCATACATCATTGTGCCCCACAACTGTAGAATAATAATTTTTTTCCTCAATGCAAATTTGGTAGCAAAGAGCGATACAGGTTCAATACAGCATGAGTTCAAGGAATACATATGGTTTTAGATGAGAAGGGAACCAGTGTTGAATATATCTCCTACATATTCAGATTTTCAGATTTTATTTCCGTTTCAAAACAAACAAAATATAAACAGACATAATATAATACAGTCAAATATAATATAAACAAAGTAAATTCAGTATTATGTAGAACAAAATTTAGTTGATAAGAAATATTGGGAAAAAACAGTACTGAACAATAGAAAAAAAAATGACCTTGATGAAGTAATTCAAAACGGAGGGGCTTGCTAAAAAAGCAGAGCTTGTATGAGGCAAGCCCCTGACTTAGTTACATGGATACGCTTAAATAATTATGGTCGAAAGCTAATACCAGTAAAACACACTAAAAGGGAATACAAAAAAAAAGAAAAAGTAAAAGTAAAAATAAAAGTAAGATAAATATAGTAACAGAGAGAGAGAGAGAAAGGGGAGAGAGCAAGAGAGAAATAGAGAGCGAGAGAAAGGCAGGAAGAAGGAGATGGGGACAGGAGGCAGGTACACCACCAGGTCGTTAGGCTTGTTTAGATTATTCTTAAAAAAGAAACAAAAAAGGAGGAAAGGAGGAATAACAAAAGGAAAGATTTGTTTTATCTTTCCGTAGGTTTAGATTTTTGAGCTTGGCTTGTTGGTGGGGAGTATTGGCTGATTAATGTTTTCCTAAGTTTACGTTTAAAATTGCTAAGACTAGGGGCTTCTTTTATATCGTTGGGAAGAGAATTCCAATAGGCACATCCAGCGAAGACAAATGAATTCTGTGCAAATAATGTTCGTGTTAAGGGTAAGTGATAACAGTTCCGTTGTCTAGTCGGGTAATTGTGTACAGAGGCATTTTTGCAGAACATATCGGAAAAAATTGCGGGGAGGTCGTCTTTACTTAGTTTGAACATAAATTGGCCGAGTTGGAACACATAGATATCTTTCACTTTGAGAATATTATTTTCGAAAAATAAAATATCTGTATGAGATCTGAATTGTGTTTGAAATATTATCCTGAGTGCTTTTCTGCAGCAGTAGGATCCTATTTAATTGTGTTTGTATTGCACATCCCCATGCTATAATCCCATAATTAATGTATGGTAATTTTAAGGTATGATATAATGTAAGAAGAGTTCGAGAAGGAAGAAAGTATTTGAGTTTATTGATAATACCGAAGAAGTATTGGGTCAAGATAAACTCTGTATCATTCTGGCAAGAAATGATAAAGACACACCTGTTGAGGAGCGTCAATGTTTTCTGTTTTCTTTTTTTCTTTTTATTCAAACTTTACTATACTGTAATACTAGAATTAACAGTATTGCTCATCAAGTACATAGCTGTTAGAGAGCTGTAAATGTCAGGTATTTAAAATCTGTTTTCAAGTCGAAAAGCAGCCCGCATAGCACATCAGTGATTTATGCCAGCAGAAAAAGCTGGCATAAATACTAATAAACAAGGCCGGTAATACAGTTCAGAGTTGTAGGGTGTTTGTTATTATTGCAGGTGTAAATGTTGGTATGTAATGTCAACATTTGTTGACTGTAAAGACTGTAGTGTATACTGTACACTGGCCTTGTCTGCTCACTGCATCCACTAGACCACTCCGCACAGGCTGCTTATATAACCCCACCATCACGGTGTACACCTTTTTATTGGTTACTTCATACTCATACCTGACAACCTTTCACAGCCAAAATTAGCCACATCTCACAGCAATTAGAAATAAAATGTTCTGTGTATGCCTTAACACATTAGTTTACATAAAAGGTGAGGAGTCTTAAGTTCATAAGATGAGTTTGAAGGCCCAAAATAGGAGTCTGACCTTCATATTTGGAATGGTAAGCAGAGATGCAACCACTATACTGATGGAAGTTATGAATAAACATGTTAAAGAACATGATTAAACATCAATTAGCAGAATAAATAAATATAAATGAGCAACCTAACTTGTGATGTACCCTCACTATGAACATGCCGGACAAGGAAAGCGGACACAATATACAGTTCCTTGGGTAGACAAAGGAACATCCCTTCACTGCTATTATGTAAAAAGGTGAATATGCATGTGACACCTGTTCTACACATGTTTACATAATAGCAGTAAAGGGATGTTCCTTTAATTGTCTACCTGAGGAACTGTATATTTTGTCCGCTTTCTATGTCAGTCATGTTCATAGTGCCTGTAGACTATTTTGTAGTGGTATCTAGAGTTTTTACATCTTCATGCATCAATGCATGTTTTGAATCAGAGACAAAGAACATTTAGGGATGTTTCTTCCCCTACTTAATTACATTTGCATTCACCTGTTACAAGTCATTGTATTTCAAAAGTCAGAATGCAGATTACAAGCATTTATTGTTGCTATGCTGGACAAGCATCTGGCAAGCCTCCAGTTGTTACTAGTAACCAATGCAGTAGATGCATACATGACATGTGCAATTATTTTGCATACATTTGTCAGCTTATAATGAATGACAGTATTTGTTATAAGTTACTGAAATCCTTGCTTCTGATTGGTTATCAGCAGATTTGTCATATCAAAAACCAATTTTGGCAGAATCGTGCTGCATATATATACCAAATCTTGCTTTATTATTATGATGACTTATTTCACTTAAAGGTACTATGTCCCATTTGCAGGCCAAAAAAAAAAGGGGGGCTTGAAAATGTCTTTAAGGTGGAAAATAATGACTATAAGTTGTCAAATCGACTTAAAGGACAAGTCCACTCGAAAAATAACTTACTTTCAATAAAAGCAGAAAAATCAGACAAAACAATCAAAACAAGTTTGAGCAAAATCGGATAACTAATAAGAAAGTTATGAATTTTTGAAAAGTATGTAAAACTATGGAACAATGAGAATCACAACACAAATTGCCAAGATGGTTATCAGTTTGTGACGTCATGTCCTCACTATTTATCAATTGCTCTATATGGTTTAATCCCATTAATTTCTCTTTTTATTCCCCAAAACTTGATTTCCAAATGCCTTTGCCCAGGTTACATAAATTTGTATCATATTGCATGCATGACATTTCACAAAATCTTTTATGAACTTTAAAGAATTTATACTTTTTTCTGAATATTGTATATTCATAATTATTGATTTTTGTTTATAAATAGTTTATCAAAATTCACATTTTTTATGATTTAACTTGAAAAAATTACTCTACCGGTATATTAGTGCATCCACACAAAAACATATTAATATTAAGCTAACTTGGATGCTGGTGTGAAGAAATGAGATTCTTAAGGAGAAAATAGGAAATTTATATCATCCATATAAAGAAAATAATTAGTGGATAGTGAGGAGGACATGACGTCACAGACTTATGAGTGAGTTGCCAATTTGTCTAGTGATTTTCAAGGTTTTTTATGTCATTAAAAATTCATAACTTTCTTATTAGTTATCCGATTTTGCTCAGACTTTTTTTGATTGGTTAGTCTGTTTTTTCTGCTTCTATTGAAAGTAAGTTATTTTTGGAGTGGACTTGGGCTTTAAGAGCTATAGAGCCAGTAAGTAAAAGTCTGATTTTCAGACCATTGTAGCAAATGGTCGTACGTTTTATGCTGCGCAAAGATTCAATCAGTTTAATTTTGGCCATTACAAGAAGTGGGTTATTGATGTAGACAAATGCTCATGTACCCTTTACAGCTCATTTTATGGATGTTATTACCAAAAAAGAAAAAAAAAGCCAGTCAGTCACTTAATAGTGTCTGACAGTGAAGTCTAGCAAGTAAACTTGTTTCTGTGTATTATTTGAATATTAGGACACTGCTAACGTTTAAATTTTATAGATAGGACAAACATGACAAATTTATAATTTCTGCAAATTTCTACAGAATTTGATGTTGGCTGCAAAAGGGACATACCGGTAGTGTCTTTAACAGGTCAAAATAAGAATGAAATGAGTGAAAATAATTTTTAGGCATAACAAAACACAAAATGCACTACAATTTTTAAAGGGTGGTAATAATTACAATATTACTACTACAATACTCAACCTACTCCTCAATGGAACAGGTTTTCTAACAAAATTTAGCCTGTTTCTATCAATTTTAAGCCTTTGCAGCCATGACACCATTAGAATAAATTGCTGTAAAATTCATGTGAGCCTAGTACATACTGTACCATAACACACAAAGCATAAACTATGTATAGGGGCTTTGATTATGAACAAATATATAAGCAAACCCATGCTATCCTGTCCCATTCGTTCCCAACCATATCCAAGTTTCAGGTAGCTTTATCTGATAAACTTCAATCACACAAAACATTCACACTTTCTATAATACTATTTTTAATGTATACCTTAGACTAGCCCATTTATTTATTTTTTATTTTTAATTACCATTGTTCACACATTAAAAAGGTTTACTATTATGTCTGAACATGCCTTAAACGTCACAGGTTTTCTAAACTCCCTATAAAAGTAACAATGAACTCTTTTCATAGAACATTCCATGGAAGGCTCACCTGTTGCCTGAGACCATAGAAGACTGCATCAGGTTTGCCACCGCTGGTCGTCTCACGGTCAGAGAAGACATGGATGTCATCCCCTACGCTATTGGCAGGGTAGAGACCCACAATACCGCTGGCTCGAAGCAGCTTCTGGTCCACAACCTTCTTCAGCATGTCCTGGGCATCATCATAGACCTTCTTCGCTTCCTCGCCTGTATGGAACAAACCCCCAAAATAAAAGGGTTGGTTGCATTATCGCTGATGGCAATTAACTGAAATTGGTCTACGTAGATAAGGTACTGAATCTGAGAAAATATGCGCTGTAGCCTCATTAGCATAAATCACTAGGCAAGTGGATTTCTAACACCTCAAATAGTTGCCTGTGATTCCTAGTTGGTCTTGCAAGATGAACATCACCCACTGAAAGTTTAAAGTTCATGCCATTTCAGTAAGAATCAACCATGATGAGTGGTAAATGGTCAAAAGATGATGATAAAAATATGCCGTTCTTGCAAAGCGCATATCACATTATGATTATAACATCTCTATCGGCTTCCAAAGTACCTTGGAGATTATTAAGCTGCAACAACGGTTGGTAGAAAACCTAGGTAACCTGACTGTCAGTCAAAGACTTACCGACCAACTTATCATTGAAGATTTTGGGATAGCCTCTATTTGGATAGCGCCCTCTAAGTTGCCAGACATCAAAGAAAGGTTTCCAGTCAATATAAGGAACCAGAAGAGACAGGTCGTAGTCCTCATAAACCTTGGTTCCAATGAAAGATGGTTCAACTAAAAGCAAACAATAAATCATTGGAACCATCATGTACATGGCAAGAGTGGAACCAATCAAACAACAGAAAAATTCAAAATGTTATCATTGCATATTCTGAAAAGTGTAAATACTGTAAAAAATTGCTAATTTAGAATGCTCAAATGAATTTTGTTGTTGATTTGTTTAAACTTTAATAATGCAAAGTATAACTTCTTCTCTTTTTTTCATGCTTTTACTTACTTGCTTGAAAATAATAGAATGCTTAAGTCGTCACACAGATTTGTTTCATTTTATATGTCATAATAAATACTTTTTCATACTTTTTTGTAAGATGATTGATTTCATAATTAAATAAATTTCAGGAAAACTTAAAATACCCACATTTCTTAGTGAAAGACTTACCAGGCTCAAAGTTGCTCCAATCGATTTCAAACTTTCTCTTCCTGACTTCTGACAGAGAGAGATATTTCCTATCCTGTTGGATAAAAAAAGTAAAAAACAAAAAATACAAATATTCATTTTGATTTATGTCCATCTGCTAGGCATGATAACACCAACTTGGCAACAGCTTTACAGGCATAGCACACAAGATGATTAAGTTAGAAGAAATGACACACTTTAACAACAATTGTACCTGACACTCGAGGCTGATCGAAAGGTCATATGAAACATGGCCCTTGGGGCATCCTATTGATTACATAACATTCCTACACAGAGTAAATACATATCTGTGGATTTAATTCAGTCAGGACACAGCTACATTGTGCATGGCAGCCAAATTTCTAGAGCATCTGCATGAAATATTAATGACACTGGCTTGTATAATGTGGTTGGAAATGACAAGTGCAATGCACAACAGTATTATATCAACTAGTGATACACACTGATTTGGGCCTTAATTTGTCCAAAGGTGAACACTGATCAAAACTTTAAAGTACAATTTTTGAAATTCTGAAGAAAAATAAATCTTTAATTTCTCTGAAAAGATTAAACATCCTTCAAATTTTATCATACTTAAAATTCAGTCTGGTATCAGTTTTATTGTTTGAATTATCAAATATAAAATGTTAAATATCTCCATTTCCACACCTAGTTATATAAAATCACACATAGCTCCCTCATATTCTAGAACAGAGGTGACTACAGTTCAGCGTCACAAACTTTCTCTATCCTTTAAAGATAAAATGCTTCTATGATCTCAATATATTCATTCTGCATTTCTCTGAACAAATGATATGGACAATGACCCAGTCTTTTCTTACCTTAAGGGAATCATAGTGATCTTCTCGGACCTCTTCATATTCTTCTTTGACTTCTTCCACATAGTCATCATACCGATCTTCATCAATCAATGATGAGCACTAGATATATTAAGTATGTGAGAAGAAGAAAGACAAATAATGCACCACTTGAGTTCAAAATTTACAAACATTTCACAGGTGAGTGTCCTACATTGCAGTTGAAATACAAGTCAGTAGGCATCTCACAAGTTGTTCTAATCTAACATCACTATTTCTAATCAAAATGGCGACTCCCTTGGGAAAATGGCTAGGAAATTAGAATCTGCAAACTTGGGAGATACTGGTTTTCCTTGCTAAATAATTAAATGCAAGTGATTTAAAGATATTTTCCGCTGACTGACATTTTTTACATTAGATTATCAGCTAATGTTTGTTCGGTTTCCTTCTCCTTTAAATAAAATGAGAAACTGCATCGTCATGGTCTACGGTACTCAGTGTTTTTTGTCCCACAAATAAAAAGGACTTTACATTGCATGGGCATTCCATTTTAGTGTTACGCACAGCTACTTTGGGTCACTTCAGTTCAGTTCATTAATTCAAAAATTCCATTAAAAATACAATTCAAACAGATAAAATGCAAATACATATACATTTACAAGTATGAGAGGGGGAAAAAAGGAGAAGAAAAGGAAAAAATGCTAAATATTATACAAAGAAATGGAGCTTAGAGGGTTGGTAGCAAAAGAACATTCAGTGTCCTGTCGAGGCACCAACCCTGAATGCTGTTACAAACAAACACCAGTTTTTAGGTAGTTTACCACCTATGAGCCATAAGATGAAAAAGAGTAGAAGTTATATTGATAAGACATACATGAAGATGCATAAATATGATTCTTATCAAACAATGGTAACATAATGTCTAGCACTCACCACCACAACACTCTTGGAAGCATCCAGAACATGGATGGTAGGTGAGGAGTAGCAAGGAGCAATCTTAACGGCTGTGTGCGTCTTGGATGTTGTGGCGCCCCCTATGAGAAGTGGGAGGGAGAAACCTAGTCTCTCCATCTCCTTGGCAACGTGGATCATCTCATCGAGCGAGGGTGTGATCAGGCCAGACAGTCCGACAATGTCTGTTTCACAATAGTGGATGAAAAGAAGTAAAAACATAGTCTAAGGCAATTGTTTTTCCTTAAACCTCTTGTGCATCCTGAATTACAAATTTGTAACTGCCTTTATATTTGCTGTCTCCTAAAATGAATCTTGGAAGAGTTTTTTTTTTTTTTAAATATTCAATTATACATTTTTGCTAAATCATTGACCTCCATTACACAAGTGTATAACTAAAATACTTTGTTGAACGATCCCAACGTGCTTCTACATCTTTAAACGTCAAAATCTTCCTGTAAGGGGATTTTTTATGTATTTTACATGAGTTTCTTTATTAAAAACTTCTCAATATCACTACAAAAATTTGTACTCAAATACATTTATATCCATTTAACATGACCTTATCAAAACCATCTTAAGATCATTGAACAAATTTTGTTCAAATGCCCGAGGAGATTTGCTTACCAGCTTTTTCTTGAATAGCTGTCTGGAGGATTTTCTCACAAGGGGTCATGACCCCCAGGTCGATGACCCTGTAGTTATTGCAGCCTAGCACAACACCTACAATGTTCTTGCCGATGTCATGAACATCTCCCTTCACAGTGGCCAGGACTATGGTGCCATTGTTGAAGGCCTGGTTAGAAGAGGTCAAGAAAGAGAGGTCAAGGAATCAGTGTTGATAGAAATATTGAACATGGGAACAATGAACCTTTCAAAACGATTATTTCATGATTTGAAAGACGTGAAATATGGAATGTTTGACATCAGACTAACTGAATAAGCATAAGAATGAGTAGAATCATTGCATTTGTACAACATTCAGAATATATTGAAAGTTGATGTAAAATACTTTCTATGGTGCTTATTCACCTTTTGACATAAGAATATTGTTTCCTAAAACTCACATTAAACCTCCAAGAAAATCTAAATTCAGTCACTTTTGATCAGAGTACTGATATATGAAACAAGCAATGATAAAAGTACTGATATATCAGAGTTCTGATATATGATACATGTACATTCAATGCATCATAAAAATGTGTTATGTGTCACAATCAACATATCTCTCCTTCTTCTCTATGTCCAAATCATGATCATTACCACTTCTTGTCCTGTTGCCTTCTGGGTTTCCTCCTTCTCTTTCTCCATGAATGGGATGAGATGACCCACGGCCTTCTTCATGACCCTCGCTGACTTGATGACCTGAGGTAAGAACATCTTACCAGCACCAAACAGATCACCAACGATGCTCATACCCTGGGGGTAGATAGAACAAGTGCGGGTTATTCAATGTGCATCAGGAAAGAGATCCTGAATATCATTGCACTCTTTATATTCACTCTCAATAAATCAACATACATAAAATATATTTAAAACCAGAACATCATTAATAGAAAATAATACAGAACAATCAGACAAAAACAAATGATGAGAAGGAGGGGTCCACACAAAAAAGCAAATGGCCTTAAAGTTGACCCCTAAATTGGCAATACATACATTACGATTTTTTATTAAAATAAGGGGGAAAAAAAATCCTTAAATGATCTTTACATGAATCTTATACAATTCGTCCTTGTTTTCACGAAGTGACGGTAGTGAGTAAAATCGTAACGCAAAGTGAATGCAATTTTTTTTCACTACCGTCACTTCGTGAAAACAGCGACGAATTGATATGTTTAATGTAATGAAGTATCATTGCCCTTAAACAAGTTGTTAAAAGAGAAGTAAAATGGTGAAATCCATGTTAATATTTCATTTTCTAGAATATCAATTACTGGGAGTAGGAGCCAATGTTTTGCTCTTAAATACATTTGTCTTTTGTCTTTTTCTTTACGTCTTGAAGTAAGTCCAAACATTAAATTGATTCTTCTAGTAGACTAGATGCTGGGAGATTGCATTTCTATACATAACCTACAAATTAAAGGGTATCAAAAATATTGTTTATATGTACATAAGCTATACCCGTTTGGACTTTTGTTCTTACTTTCATGAGTGGTCCCTCAATGATATGTAGTGGTCTTTTATATCTCTCTGTATTCTGCCTTGCTTCTTCTGTATCTTCTACCGCATACTTGTCAATACCCTGTGTAGAGAGAGAGAGAAAGAAAGAAAGAAAAACTCTTACAATCAACAATTATTTTCAGCAGGTAACACTGATATATATATACTGACAATCTCAGAAACAACTTCTACCTGGTACCACAGTTCAACCAGTATTCAAGATTTGTTAAAATGCATTTATCTCCTTTTTGTATCTAATCAATATAAAATCTATGTTTGCATTCAAATACATGAAGGAATGTTAATATTTATGTTCCTTACCATATTAGTAAAAATCAACTGCATTAATTGCAAAACCCATCATATTTCCTGTACTTTTGGATCATTCTAGTGAATATTACACAAGATGTATGTGTTGGGTACTGCATGGACCCACCAGACAGAGAGAGAGAGCTTATAGGATATTTACCTTTACGAGAGAATACTCCAATCTATCCTCCACACTTTCCTTCCTCCATGACTCGTCCGCTACCGCTTTCTTCGCACCAGCCCCAAGGTTCTGTTAAGAGAGAAATGAGACACAAAACAATATCTTATCATCATCATCATTATTGCAATCATCAAAATTATGATTTTATTAATGCCAATTAATTTTATTCCATTTGTCATATAAAAACATACAAAATTAAATTAAAACATTGGTATTTACAGAAAAGTTAAGAACATGCGAACAGCATAACAAAAGATGAACACAAAATACCATTATATATAGAATGCGGAAACCGACAAGAAATTGCTGGTCCCTTATGATATAATAAAGACTGTTACCCTTATTTATACACACAACACCCAACACCTGATTGCATATATATATATATATATATACAAATAATAACATGCTATTCACATGAAACGTAATTTTGAGTATCTCTGCTTAAATGTATTTGAAGTTAGGCTTGATCATCACCCCCATCAAAATGCAACAGCATTACAATTATCTTTGCTATCATTATCATATCATAATCATGCATAGAATTACATTACACAGCTTTGAATGGTCAAGCCCCAAATTCTTTTTCTAAATTATTATCTTTTAAATCTCCTCATCCACATTCTAATAACCTCATAAAAGAAATTATGCCTTCAGTTGTGATGCACCAAAGTTTTGGAATAGCCTTACAATATATATAACAAGAACCCCATCTGTTGCATTCTTGAAAGCATTGTTGAAGATGCACTTAACTTCAAAAGCTTTTAAACAGTTAAGCATCAAACTCATGGCATGTAGAGACATTTATTGTGAGGAAACTAGCCTATTTAAACATTGGATTTTTTTTAGCCAAAATGCTGAACCACCCCCGCCCTTAACATTTCGGCATGAAAGTGGTGTTTATTCGACTTTTTACAATATTTGCCCCTACACCTCTTTCAAACGCATATGAGGGTCAGGGTTGATCTCATGGCATGTAGAGACATTTATTGTGAGGAAACTAGCCTATTTAAATTTTTGAATTTTTTTAGCCAAAATGCTGGGCCACCCCGGCCCTTAACATTTTGGCCAGAATGTGGTGTTTTTCAAAATTTTACAATATTTGCCCCTACGCCCCTTTCAAACGCATATGAGGGTCAGGGTCCATCTCATGGCATGTAGAGACATTTATTCTGAGGAATTTAGCCTATTTAAATATTTGACTTTTTTTAGCCAAAATGCTGGACCACCCCGGCCCTTAACATTTCGGCCTGAAAGTGGTGTTTATTCGTCTTTTTACAATATTTGCCCCTACACCCCTTTCAAACGCATATGAGGGTCAGGTTCCATCTCATGGCATGTAGAGACATTTATTGTGTTGAAACTAGCCTATTGAAATATTTGAAAATTTTCAGCCAAAATGCTGGGCCACCCCGGCCCTTACCATTTTGGCAAGAAAGTGGTGTTTTTCAAAATTTTACAATATTTGCCCCTACATCCCTTTCGAATGCATATGAGGGTCAGGGTTGATGTCATGGCGTGTAGAGACATTTAATCTGAGGAAACTAGCCTATTTAAATATTTGAATTTTTTCAGCCAAAATGCTGGACCACCCCGGCCCTTAACATTTCGGCCTGAAAGTGGCATTTATTTGGCTTTTTACAATATTTGCCCCTACATCCCTTTCGAAAGCATATGAGGGTCAGGGTTGATGTCATGGCATGTAGAGACATTTAATCTGAGGAAACTAGCCTATTTAAATATTTGAATTTTTTTAGCCAAAATGCTGGACCACCCCGGCCCTTACCATTTTGGCCAGAAAGTGGCCTTTATTTGGCTTTTTACAATATTTGCCCCTGCATCCCTTTCGAATGCATATGAGGGTCTGGGTTGATGTCATGGCGTGTAGAGACATTTAATCTGAGGAAACTAGCCTATTTAAATATTTGAATTTTTTCAGCCAAAATGCTGGACCACCCCGGCACTTAACATTTCGGCCTGAAAAGCCCCAGTCCCATATAAAGCCGGACCAGCACGGACGAGCACGGACCACTCCGGACCATCCCGGACCATGGTCTGGGGTGATCCGGGATGGTCCGGGATGTTTTGTTAAAAAAAGTGTGATGCTTTAAAAGCTACAGTCCCATATACGTCCCGGACCGTCCCGGACCATCCCGGACCCCATCCGGGGTGATCCGGGATTCGGTCCGTGTTGACACCGTGTTGGCACCGGGGTGGTCCTGGATGGTCCTGGATGGTCCTGGGCGGTCAATAACTCACTCCCGGACTGCCACGGATCAACACGGACCGCCCCGGCGCCACTACGGATGACCCCGGACCCAGCACGGTGGCTACACGGATCACCCCGGATCAAACTTTTGTCCCGGACCGTCCCGGACCACCCCGGCAGTTTTTGACCGTCAAAAACATCCGGGGTCGACTCCCGGACCGCCCAGGACCATCCAGGACCATCCAGGACCACCCAGGACCATCCAGGACCACCTCGGTGCCAACACGGTGTCAACACGGACCGAATCCCGGATCACCCCGGATGGGGTCCGGGATGGTCCGGGACGGTCCGGGACGTATATGGGACTGTAGCTAAAGTGGTGTTTATTCGACTTTTTACAATATTTGCCCCTACACCCCTTTCAAACGCATATGAGGGTCAGGGTTGATCTCATGGCATGTAGAGACATTTATTGTGAGGAAACTAGCCAATTTAAATTTTTGAATTTTTTTAGCCAAAATGCTGGGCCACCCCGGCCCTTACCATTTTGGCCAGAAAGTGGTGTTTTTCAAAATTTTACAATATTTGCCCCTACGCCCCTTTCAAACGCATATGAGGGTCAGGGTCCATCTCATGGCATGTAGAGACATTTATTCTGAGGAATTTAGCCTATTTAAATATTTGACTTTTTTTAGCCAAAATGCTGGACCACCCCGGCCCTTAACATTTCGGCCTGAAAATGGTGTTTATTCGTCTTTTTACAATATTTGCCCCTACACCCCTTTCAAACGCATATGAGGGTCAGGTTCCATCTCATGGCATGTAGAGACATTTATTGTGTTGAAACTAGCCTATTTAAATATTTGAAAATTTTCAGCCAAAATGCTGGGCCACCCCGGCCCTTACCATTTTGGCAAGAAAGTGGTGTTTTTCAAAATTTTACAATATTTGCCCCTACACCCCTTTCAAACGCATATGAGGGTCAGGGTTGATCTCATGGCATGTAGAGACATTTATTGTGTTGAAACTAGCCTATTTAAATATTTGAAAATTTTCAGCCAAAATGCTGGGCCACCCCGGCCCTTACCATTTTGGCAAGAAAGTGGTGTTTTTCAAAATTTTACAATATTTGCCCCTACGCCCCTTTCAAACGCATATGAGGGTCAGGGTTGATCTCATGGCATGTAGAGACATTTATTGTGAGGAAACTAGCCTATTTAAATATTTGAATTTTTTCAGCCAAAATGCTGGACCACCCCGGCCCTTAACATTTCGGCCTGAAAGTGGTGTTTTTCAAAATTTTACAATATTTGCCCCTACGCCCCTTTCAAATGCATATGAGGGTCAGGGTCTATCTCATGGCATGTAGAGACATTTATTCTGAGGAATTTAGCCTATTTAAATATTTGAATTTTTTCAGCCAAAATGCTGGACCACCCCGGCCCAAAATTTACAATATTTGCCCCTACGCCCCTTTCAAACGCATATGAGGGTCAGGGTCCATCTCATGGCATGTAGAGACATTTATTCTGAGGAATTTAGCCTATTTAAATATTTGACTTTTTTTAGCCAAAATGCTGGACCACCCCGGCCCTTACCATTTTGGCAAGAAAGTGGTGTTTTTCAAAATTTTACAATATTTGCCCCTACACCCCTTTCAAACGCATATGAGGGTCAGGGTTGATCTCATGGCATGTAGAGACATTTATTGTGAGGAAACTAGCCAATTTAAATATTTGAATTTTTTCAGCCAAAATGCTGGACCACCCCGGCCCTTAACATTTCGGACTGAAAGTGGTGTTTCTCAAATTTTTACAATATTTGCCCCTACGCCCCTTTCAAACGCATATGAGGGTCAGGGTTGATCTCATGGCATGTAGAGACATTTATTGTGAGGAAACTAGCCAATTTAAATATTTGAATTTTTTCAGCCAAAATGCTGGACCACCCCGGCCCTTAACATTTCGGCCTGAAAGTGGTGTTTATTCAACTTTTTACAATATTTGCCCCTACGCCCCTTTCAAACGCATATGAGGGTCAGGGTTGATCTCATGGCATGTAGAGACATTTATTGTGAGGAAACTAGCCTATTTAAATATTTGAAATTTTTCAGCCAAAATGCTGGACCACCCCGGCCCTTAACATTTCGGCCTGAAAGTGGTGTTTTTCAAAATTTTACAATATTTGCCCCTACGCCCCTTTCAAATGCATATGAGGGTCAGGGTCTATCTCATGGCATGTAGAGACATTTATTCTGAGGAATTTAGCCTATTTAAATATTTGAATTTTTTCAGCCAAAATGCTGGACCACCCCGGCCCAAAATTTACAATATTTGCCCCTACGCCCCTTTCAAATGCATATGAGGGTCAGGGTCCATCTCATGGCATGTAGAGACATTTATTCTGAGGAATTTAGCCTATTTAAATATTTGACTTTTTTTAGCCAAAATGCTGGACCACCCCGGCCCTTACCATTTTGGCAAGAAAGTGGTGTTTTTCAAAATTTTACAATATTTGCCCCTACACCCCTTTCAAACGCATATGAGGGTCAGGGTTGATCTCATGGCATGTAGAGACATTTATTGTGAGGAAACTAGCCAATTTAAATATTTGAATTTTTTCAGCCAAAATGCTGGACCACCCCGGCCCTTAACATTTCGGACTGAAAGTGGTGTTTCTCAAATTTTTACAATATTTGCCCCTACGCCCCTTTCAAACGCATATGAGGGTCAGGGTTGATCTCATGGCATGTAGAGACATTTATTGTGAGGAAACTAGCCTATTTAAATATTTGAATTTTTTCAGCCAAAATGCTGGACCACCCCGGCCCTTACCATTTTGGCCTGAAAGTGGTGTTTTTCAAAATTTTACAATATTTGCCCCTACACCCCTTTCAAACGCATATCAGGGTCGGGGTCCATCTCAAGGCATGTAGAGACATTTATTCTGAGGAATTTAGCCTATTTAAATATTTGACTTTTTTTAGCCAAAATGCTGGACCACCCCGGCCCTTAACATTTCGGCCTGAAAGTGGTGTTTATTCAACTTTTTACAATATTTGCCCCTACGCCCCTTTCAAACGCATATGAGGGTCAGGGTTGATCTCATGACATGTAGAGACATTTATTGTGAGGAAACTAGCCTATTTAAATATTTGAATTTTTTCACCCAAAATGCTGCACCACCCCGGCCCTTAACATTTCGGCCTGAAAGTGGTGTTTTTCAAAATTTTACAATATTTGCCCCTACGCCCCTTTCAAACGCATATGAGGGTCAGGGTTGAACTCATGACATGTAGAGACATTTATTGTGAGGAAACTAGCCTATTTAAATATTTGAAATTTTTCAGCCAAAATGCTGGACCACCCCGGCCCTTAACATTTCTGCCTGAAAGTGGCGTTTATTTGGCTTTTTACAATATTTGCCCCTACATCCCTTTCGAATGCATATGAGGGTCAGGGTTGATGTCATGGCGTGTAGAGACATTTAATCTGAGGAAACTAGTCTATTTAAATATTTGAATTTTTTCAGCCAGAATGCTGGACCACCCCGGCCCTTACCATTTTGGCCTGAAAGTGGTGTTTTTCAAAATTTT